CCTAATCGTAGTAAGCGAACATCCAGTATACATTTCAGAAAACAAATTTTGAATAGATTTGAGGGTGAAAATGACTCTGATGCAGATGTTCAGTATCGCGATTACTCATCAGATTCAGAGAAAACTACGAGTAGTAGGTCATTTTTGAAAATTAACCAGTGAAAATAAAAATAAAAATATGCATCACAGAAATGCCACTGTAACTTAGTCACAAACACAAGATTAGGTAGAATCAAAAAATGAAGAAACTTTGAGAAATTGAAATTTATTAAAACCGTTTCCAGATAAGAATAATGACAGTTTTCAGTGAACAATTTGGAAATAAATATTTGATTTTTTACAGTATACACCATGTTATTATTTTACCTGGTCCTGAAAAAAAAATAAAAACTAAAATCCTTTCAGAAACGCAAAATAATGATTAAATTAAATATGTGGTTTGCATTTAGACCACCGCCCATCTATCATCTTAAGGGCAGTGGTTTCCATTTTATCCACCATGATAAATTTAAAAAAAAACAGTTGGATTTTCAAAATATTCATTAAACTAACTTAAGACATCCAAAATAAGTAGAAAAATAACAATTAATGGATTCTGTCCTATAAAGGGTTAAATCTCGCCTCTGTTGACTTACATGAAGACTATATAAGCTCAGGTAGTCCTTTGCTTTGGTGTGACACTACAAGTTGTTTAATACTAAAGAGACCTTAAATAGGTGGAAACAGCTGTCAATACTTGAAGTATTTTAAGTTGGTGGAACGCACTAAAAACATTATCTCTAGTGATTGAAGGTTCAATTTTCTGGAATAATACCACTGGTAATATACTAGTAATGCGTCAAGGAACTTTTCTGTGTAGTATGATTTAATTTTACCAAAAACACATAATATTTAACACTGAAACAATTTACACCAGATAAAATTTATTTTCATACTGTGTGAAAGTTAAATTTACACTATTTCAGTATTTGAATTTACACTGTACCAACGAACCATATTTAACACCATTTTGGTATGTATCGATAAAGACCATTAGACCAAATTGGGTGTTAAAATGGTCATGAAATTTTGAATAGTGTAGGTTATGAGTTTACATAAAAACTGCAAAATTTTTGTATAGGGCGTACCATTGGGGGGGGGGGCTAGATATACGAAAACACCTCCAACTTTTTTCCGGGCCCTGTTTTATGAATTTTTCTTAAAAATCGTACATCTGAGCGATGCAAATCAAGGGTACCTTTTTAGTAATAAACTTAACATTTTATAATTTTCTAAAATAAAATAAAATATTCACACAGAAAAAAGTTGCAGATGTTTTAATATAAGATCTAGATTCAAACCTATAATGTTGTAATTTAAATTTAAAAAGTAACCAAGCTTAATAAGAAAGATTAGCACTCAAGTTCTATAAATAATAAATGACTAAATTACTAAAAAAACTCGTGGTTATTGGATACAATTTACATATTTAAGTGTAATTTTAACCCTCATAACTTTAATATCCTTATAATGGGAGGATTCAAAAGCTTGCTGGACTCATACTTTTGGATTTTGAATTTTTTCTTTTTAAATCCGATAAAATCACAAAATTATATTGTTTATGGATGTTTTCTTTGTGTAGTGGCCAGCGAATTATATTTGTCCATTTTGGGTATATGTCAAAATCCTGAAGAAATGATACTATACATTGAGACGATTATTACTGTACTTCATGTAAGTAAAACTATACGTTTTTTTATCTCAAAAAATATAGTTGGACCTTTATAGTGTTTAATAAAATTCAGCGCCTTATTTTGTAATGCAAAAGTGATTCGAAATCTTTACATGGACATTGATCACTTTTGGACAGTTGATGTGGAGGATGACCCAAAAGAAAAAGAAGATTTCAAAGATTTTTTTCATAGTTTGAAAAAGTATAAAAAATTTCACATTATCTTTGGCCACGTCTCATTTGTGATGGTCAGCACTTTAAGTCTTACAAGATTTAGAAGTCAAGCTTTAGTAGTTGCAGTACCGTCGTATATTAATGAACATGTAGTATGGATGTATCAAGTAATTTTTACCGCTTTTACAGTAGCAATCATTTTTTCCTTTGATTTCATAAGTTGCGTATATTTTTATTTAGTTGCGATGCAGTTTAGGCTGCTTAACAACAAAATTAAAGGCGTGCATTTTGACACATCAACTGAAAATATGGATTTTGAAAATAGCAACAAAATTATAAGTATGGTGAAATATCACAACTTTTTAATAAGGTATTCAATATTATGTATTATTTGTAATAACTCGATTACACTATCTTTTTCTAATGTATTTTGGAGTGCCTAACTCTAAAATAATTTTTTTATGTCGAGATTTAATTTTTATTTTTTTTTATATTTCGAGCAATGGCCGATCTGGTTTGCAAAAGGTACCATCGCCAACCAATACCACTTTCTCAATGCCCAATCAGTTGAGTTGTTTAAGGGATAAAATTTAATAATGGTATAAATTGGTTTAATAATAATAAATTAAAATATGAAAAAATTGTCATAGTTATTCTTCATTTTCTAATAAAAGATCAAATACAAGAGGGTTGCACATTTGGGTGGAGTGAAAAGGTCGAAAAAAATGTTCTTCTTTCCTGTATTATTAAATGTTGACCACATATGAGTACATTAACTATGCAAAAAATTTGACTTTATCTTCAGGTGGCGCACGCAGCAAGAAAAAAACAAATTCTGTTTTAGGCGCGGATTTTTATTAATATACTAATAATTATTATGTCAATAGAGTAAAACCAATATTGATCTTTTTGTCATGTCCATGGTTTAGTATTAGTTATATTTCCATCCGATAGAGCCTCTCACCGCGTCGCCATTAATCAATAAATAATTTTTGGATACCGACTTAATAATCTAGCGGTTGCAAAATGCCTAAAACTCGTAAAGATTGGCGATGTCCTGTATTAGATGAACCACAAAAAATTTCTGAAAACATGTTGTCGACATATAATTAAATATTATTTGTTGGTTAGAAATGATTTGCTTGAATTGAATGGCAGGAAAGACCATGCTATCAAAGATGTGTGTAAAATTATTTCCTGTGTCATCGAGAAAATATGGAATAAGTAAAACTTCGATTCATATTGTTAGCCATCAACAAGTTGTGGCGAGGTTAATATCATATTACAACAGGTACAAGGGCGTAAAAAAACTTCGCAATGATGTACAAAAGAAGTATTCTGCGACGAGTCCAAAAAACTATTTGATATTGCTACTTGTAAATGCGATTCAAAGAATTCGTGCAAATGTGCTTTTAAAATTGGTTGAATTAGGATGTGATGGTACCGCGGTAAATAGAGGAAATCGTTTTACTGGAAAAATAACTTGGTCGCCCTCTACAGTGTGTTTACTTCACATACCCCGATGGTACAACAACAGGGCCGAAAAGTTTTTCAGGTGTTATTGGTAAAGAACTGGAGAAGTGCCTGAAATATGAAGTAGTGGATTTTGAAGTAATCGACGTAAAATTGCCCGAGTTTGCTGAGCACGGATCAAAAAAATTTGTACCAAATTTGCTTAGAGATATCTTAAGGTACAATTCCCACTTCCTTATAAGGATCTTTGTTAGCTATAACCTAACAAAGATCCAGGAAAGCTAGCACATTCCCTATGGCTGACGTGTGCTAATAGGATTATTCGTTTATATGTGGGGAAAGAAAATCCATCGGCAAACCTAAAAGAATTGGCTACTTTTATCATGAAAGTGTATGCCCCAACGTGGTTTTACACCAAAACCAAGCCTACGTGCAAACATGGTCCTATTCACATATGTAATATGGGTATATTTTTTATAACGGGCGAAATCAACAATATTGCTGTCCTCAGAGCATAAAAATTGCGTTAAGAGATAAATATATCGGTTTTGTCTGTTAAATGTTTAAATAATGAATTGTTTTATTAAAATTAACTTAAAATGTTGTTATAAAATACTTCCAGTGTCTGTCACAGTGGCTAAGAGTGACAAATTGTCCTCATCTGCAACTGTCCCTAGCGCAATTTTCAGTATTTAAAGTGGCATAATTTTATATTCCTTGAAGGTTGTGCAGCCAAAACTTATACAAACTCTTAGCTATGTTTTTTTAATGCAAATATCATAAAATTTCAATATTTTACTCGGTTGTATATTTCCTATTAATATAAATAAAATGTCCCTTACTTGACGGTCCAGTCTGCAACGACATATTTTACGCCGTCTAATATTAGATACATGTGACAACGTTGCACGCCATTTCATTTTAGTTATTTCAACTGTTAGTGCAAGGAAGTGTTATTAGTGGTAAGTCAAATTATTTTATGTTTTAAAGTTATACTTGAAATAAAAGTCATAGTAAGTATATGTCAATAAGCTAGTGGTCTTGTCTGCAACGCCTGTTATAGTTTTAAAACGCATGGCATGAAACTCTAACTAGGAATTTTTATTTTATCTAGATTCCGAACACACATAACCTTAAAATTAGCCATATTGCATTAAAAGGATTTTCAAAACATTGGAAATTACAGAGGTTGTCCGGTCTGCAACGTCCATTCTGTAACAATATAAGTATGCCTGCTGCAGAATGGACATCGTTGTTGCAGAACGGACACAATTATTAAATCGTTAATTTGAAATGCCAAAATTAGTATTTAAAGTTAATCAAACAGTAGATACAATTTTATTGGCAAATAAAAAAGATGACTTAAACCTAAGTAGATATCTATGAACTAATACAGTACCTATATTATTTTTGATATGCATTCTTGTTGGTTGATTTAATTTGGCTTGTTATGTTTGATCGCTGCAAAATTCTCGTTGGTTTGACTAGGTACCTGTTTAATTAGTTTTATTATACAGGAATTAGTTTGTGGTTACTTTACCAAAAATGTTTACCTAATCAAAACGATTGTATCTTTTTTTATTTTTATTTAATTTACCATTTGTACCGTATGTAAAGAAACGTTTTGATATTTAGGGTTATCATGAATCCAGAAAATAAGAAAATCTTGATTGATAAATTAAAAAGAGAAAAAGAAGCAGCATTTGAAAAAAATCAGGCTGAGAAGATTGAAAAAAAGCATAACCAAGCTAAACAAAGAAAAAAAAGACAATGTGAAAATAATTCTCCCAAAGAAGACGTACTTATATCGTTCAAGGATTTAACAAAACAAGGACGTAGACATGACTCATCGGTCAATACGAGTGGGCTAAAAATTATTTCTCTCATGAATCAAGTACCATCTGATTCAAATAATTATAAAACACAAAGTGAAACTATCTGTAAACCTCAAATTGACGGCGTGACAACAAAAAACCCAGTTGCGTCTACCTCTAGGTCAAACCTCAACCAAACATCTAAAGTAAACGAAACCAAAAAGAAGTGCAAAAAATCAAGTGGTTTAACATCTAGCGAAAGATCTAGAAAATGTAGACAGAATATGTCTGAGGAAAAAAAATCCCTGCTAAGAGAAAGAGATAAAGAAAGAAAACGAAAGTTACTTGCAGAAGGAAAAATTTTAAAAATTAAAGATCTACCAAAAAAGAAACAAGTTGCACAAAGAGATTTCTGGAAAAAAACTAAAAGAAATTATCGAGCAAGGATAAAAACTCTGAAGGCAATTGTATCAGAAACTCCTCCTGAATCAGAAAGTGAAGATGTATTAGGTCTGGTAAATATCGAACATAACTTACCCAACGACCGAGCAGACGTCGAGGAAATTGTAAAAACAGATAACAGAGAAAATCCAAATATTATCGATGATCGCGAAATACCATCAAAAAACATATTAAGAAAAAGTTCATCTGCAAAGAAACGCTCAAACCGAAATCTTAAAAAATTGTACCGAGAAATACAGACACTGAAGACACGCGTACATTGCCAAAAAAAAGAAATTAAACATATACAAAAGGAGAAAGAGAAGTATAAAAAACGTTGGCTACGAGAAAAGGAGAAAGTAAAACCCAAGGAAATGCCAAATCGTTCAGATAGTTTAGACAATAGTACAATATTGAACTCAGATTTATCCCCAAACACAAAAGTCGAACGTATGTTAAAAGGTAGACACGTACCAAAAGATGTTAAAAGAGAGTTGGTATTCGGTGAAGCATTTAGAAAGCAAATCCAAATCAATTTTCAATCTAATGAACTTAGTGAGGAAAATAAATACAGTTTTAAAAAAATGCTCTCTGGAAAGGTACTTAAAAAAAATCGGCTCCAGGGGAGAATCAAAGATATGCTATCTTATAAGTTAAATTCTAAATTTAATGAAAATCTTAGCACACGTTTTCAGAGAAATAGAAAATGCAAGTATGATAAAAAGGACATTGCGAGAGTTAGATGTTTCTTTGAATGCGATTATATTTCAAGACAGTGCCCGGGAAAAAAACAGTTCATAACAAAAAAAAAGATAAAGAAACAAAAGAAATTGTTACTGCATGATCTAAGATCTTGTTATAAGTCTTTCAAAAACAAATTTCCTGAAACTGGTATGTCTTTTGCAACCTTCTATAAGCTTAAACCCTTTTGGGTGGTCCACCCAAAGTTAAAGGACAGAGAAACATGTGCCTGTATTAAACATGACAACTTTACTTTTCTTTCAAATAAATGTTTTTATGAAAAAATTGTTGATACCAGAGACTTTCAGAAATTAGTAAACAATGAGTTCGAAATTACATTAAATGCAACTAACAAAAATGATATTGTTAAGCTACAGCAGTGGAAAACATGTGTTGAGACGAGAATCATAAAAAATGAAACCAAAAAGATTAGAATAACATCTAAAGTCGTAACAGACACAACTAAACAAGATATAGCCCAACAGTTAACAAACGCAATACCCTTGTTTAAAATTCACTTAGATTTAATGATGCACCAACTAAATTATTTGCGCAATTGCATTGAGAACCTTCAAGAAAATGAAGTTGTCATGCAAATAGACTTTTCAGAAAATTACGTCTCGAAATTAAGCAGCGAAATACAGTCCATGCACTTTGGTGCGAACAAAAAACAAATATCCATCCACACTGGAGTAGCCTATATAATCAATAACGGAAATACTGAAACTTTTTCATTTGCTACTCTATCTGACAACCTTGATCACCAGGCCCACGCCATTTGGCGTCACATGACACCAGTACTAAGACATCTAAAAACAAAACTATCTAAAAATATTATGCACGTAAAAATATTCTCTGACGGACCGACATCGCAGTACAGAAATCGATTTAATATGTATCTGGCAGCAAAAAATTTAAACACGTTTTTCCTCGATGCAAAGATTGAATGGAATTTTAGTGCCCCAGGACATGGAAAAGGTCCGATGGACGGTATAGGTGGAACTATCAAGAGACTCGCAGATAGAAAAATCCTGCATGGTTCAGATATTTCTTCTGCCCAAGAGTTTGCTGACATAGTAAAGAGGAGTACGAAAATTGGTATATTTGTTATTGACAAGGATGTAATTCAAGCTGCCAAAGAGGAAATACCAAAACTACTTTGCAAATTTAACAAGATTGGACAAGCATACCAAATTGCCTGGAATGTCGATGGAGCCTATGCTAAGTACGACACGAGGTCTTTAAGTTGCAAGTTCTGTACACCTGGAAGCGTGTGCACCCATTTTTCTGTTGGTACAAGTTGCATGAAGCTATATCACAATGGTAATAGTATCCTTTTTAACAATTGTTGCATTAATGCACGTAGAGGTAGATAACTCTTTTCTTATGTTTAGACTATTATGTCCTTAACATAAATTTAGTAGATAACTTGGTGGAAACTGTAGAATTAGACTTACCTAGTTATATTAACACTTACGACCCTAATAGCACGGTTACAATTGGTACATGGGTGGCGATTACATATGGAAATCAGTGGTATCCTGGTATTTTTTTGTATACAAAATAATAGTACATTTCCTAGGTTCTCTTATTTTTTAGGTATTGTCCACGAGAAAGTTAAGGATTTGATCACTGTAAAGTTCTTGGCTAAAAAAGGCAAAAACTTCATCTGGCCTACGAAACATGATATACAAAGTCTTCCTTGCAAAGATATTTTATGCGTCCTTAAAAGTCCTCCTAAAAGCGTATCAAAATCTAGGCCAGACTTGTTTTTCATTCCTGATGAAGAAGAAATAAATGTGCTTTTTGAGACTCAAGTTTAAACTGTCAAATCAGTATTGATTATTGATTATATTTTTGTAGTTACATGTTTCTTTTCTAAACGTAATTATAAATATATTTTAATAAGCTGTTTATTATTTTCAAAAATTCCAATCTGCAACAAATTGTCCCCGTCTGCAACTTGTAAATTTGTGAACCTTAAAGAAAAATAAAATGCTATAGCTACTTTAAATTGCTAATTCATTACTCAACAGGCGCTATAGTTATAAAATTATCATATCTTACGGCCGTTTCACAAATAATTCTATACAAATAGATAAGTTCACCTGTAATATTAGAGATTCGGCGCTTTTAAACAACCTACAACCATGTTATAAAATAATCTATTTAAATATTTTTAACACCTTATATTTTTGTTTTTTTTAGATGCGTGTATCTAACTAATTATATATAAAATAACGCTTCTAATGTAAATATAAGTATGTTTGTTCAATTGAAAGAATGTGTTGCAGAGAGGACAGAAATAAATTATTATCATTAAATATTATTCACTATCAAAAAATTTGACCAAATTTTTAGAATCCCATATGAAAACAATGTACTAGACTATTCAAGAAATCATAAAATTTAGTTTGCCTTAAGGTTTTAAAAACTTATCTTTTTTCGTTTATTTTTTCCTTTTTGGCCCAATAAAAAAAATATACCCATATGACTAAAAGAGCATTACAACTCCAAAAAAACTTGAAGGCCTTATTACTATAGTTATAAAGAATATTTAGCGAAATATACATCCCGAAAACCTATTACTTGCTATGTCACCTACAAGATATCTATGATCAGAGAACTAGCATTGCGGAAAATATTAAAGGCGAGGAAAGAATCATTACGGGAATTAAAGCTTCCACAACTAAACACTGAAGCATTAAATTATTACGAGTTAATTCACTGGGCGACAGAAAAGGTAACTGAACCACATATGACTATGAAATACGATGACAGAAATTACCGATATGATTTCTTCGGGTGACCATTTGCTATACTTCCTGTGTCACCCAAGCAGTGGAACGCTGTGTAAAATTGGTTATAATCAGTATACTGAATCTTCAGTCTCGGTTTGTGGATCGGAAGCGAGAGATGGTTTCATCAGAACAAGAATTACCAAATTTTGATACCAAATGTAAGTATTTTCGCGAAAAAGAAGATCTAATTTTTACCAATAAACACTCCAGAAGTTACTTAAAGCTTACTATTTACTATTAAATATGTTTACGTTTCACGTTAATTTTACTAAAATAAACTTTTTATTTATTAATAATGCTATTTTTATTACTTTAAATGAAGTCATATTAATCTACATAAAAATATGGATTACGTTTTTTGGGTTAATAGGGTATATCGGATTTTTAAAACACGATATTTATAGAAGCTATTAGTAACTGAATATTAAAAACAGTTAATATTGAAGACATTTCATTCAAGTAAATTGCACAAAAACTTCATATACCAAGAGGGTGATATTGGTCGGCGATTCGATTATGTTTAGTTTGACACCTTTTGCAACCAGTTTGGCTGTTTTTACCTCGAGAATTGTCTCCAACTGTAAAGCTGGATTAGAAAAACCAATAAAAATGTGATTTTTAAGTTGTTATTAACCAGATTGCATTTTTAGATACACAAAAAATATTAATAAAATGGTTTCGATGCCGCTTCTATTTCAATTTTTTATTGCTATTGGATCTATATGTCTAGAACTATACCTATTAACATCAGGGTAGTGGGTTAATCCTACCCGAACAATATATTTATTAATTATTTTTTTAGAATTGACTTTTCCAGAATAGTTGTGGGTGTATTTTATCTTTCCGTTATGTGGATGGAACTTGCTCTGCTGTTTTGCTATCCCTCACAGAACGTTATTAACGAGGTAATCACAATATTTAACGCCAAATTTATAATTCCACAAATTAAATTTTAGAGTGACGAGGTTTCCCACAGTTTTTATTGCACCCAATGGTATAATTTGCCGTCAACTTCAACCAAAAAAATGTTATTATTTTCAATGATGAGTGCCCAAAAACCCATCGACATTTCAGCTGAAGGATTTTTCAAAATTAACATGGCGTCGTGTTTGGTGGTAAGAAAACTTTGGAAAACAGTTAGGGTGGACCGCTTAACTGGAATAAATTCTGTATCTTGAAACAACTATTTTTTTTTTCAAATTCAATAATGGAAGGTGGGGGAATTCTGCGCATCTAAGCAAAATCTCTTGTGTCTTTGTTAAGTTTAAATGTGAAATTTTGCAATTAATACCAGCGATAGTCTACTATGTTTACTATGTGTATATAATGCGCAATTTATAAAAAAAAAATTGTTTGGTATGCAAAAACTACATTTTTTTAAATAATGCATTTGCGCAAAATTACCCACCTATCAGGGTAATTTTGCGCATCATAGGGGGAAAATTTGCGATGTATAGAGAAAGATTTGTAGGCATCTAAATAAACCGTTTATTTCTATAATATTATTATATTAAAACATAAAAATAAAACAAAACTATTTTCTCTATGAAACAAACAAAACAAACAAGATCAAAAATAAATAACTAAAAATAAAATTTTTGTTCTTAGAAATAAGAGGGCCTACATGCAGCAGTTGTCGCATATGTAGTTTTAGGGGTTGTTTTTTACGCTACACTCCGCGTGTGCCCAAATGGAACTGTTTATGATGAACAATCTAGGCTCCTGTACCAAAAGCTCCCATAGGTATTGGCCAAATTTTGCAGCGCAAAATTACCCCAATTTTTCACCGTAAAATTACCCCCATTGCAAGAAAAATATTGTGATACTAAAAAACATTTCAAAAGTTAACCTGAACAATTTAAACATACACCAGATTACGAGGAAAGATCATATAAAGTTGTTTTATAAACATTTAAGCGATTGGACAGAAATTTAAACTTAACTCGTAGCGGAAACGACATGGATTTCTTAGATCAACGTACATGTATCACAGTTAGCTAGTGACCATGGTCACTAGCTAAAAGTTACAAGCTTAATTGCGGTACACTTTAGTCCCCGTAGACCCAAAGCAACGTTTCCAAGTTTGCAACATTCAAAAAATGTATTATTTACTTCATATCTGGAAGAATTGTTTATGAGTAAAATTACCCACCGCGCAAAATTCCCCCACCTTCCCCTAAACCTGGGAACTTTAATTTTGTATGACTAAATTATAATAATACTTTTGGGTAATTTCATATCAAATCAACCAAAGGTTTCGAAGGCACCATCTTCGATTTTGATGAATTTTGGTACAGTTTTTCTTTCCATTGAAAAACCTAAATTTTTATTTTTTTGAACAGTAGTTTTTCTTTTATGGATTTTTGAAAATCAAGAAATTTACCAATTTGCCTCTGCAGGCTCTTAAAAAAACAGGTATATCTAAGAGCATTAAGTAATAGCTTGTTTTAAAGATCTTTAGAAGCCTTTTCAGATAATGTATCACATAATATACTTTGTCTTAAAAATAATGGGAATTTTCGAAAAAAAAATTTTTTTTGTAAATTTCTTAAAAAAAATATCTTTTTTATCAATGGTTTAGCTACCTATTTACCAAAATTTAGAATGGAGAAATGATGGATTAATTGTAATAATTTTTTTTAATATCCTTCCATAGCAAAAATAACGGTTTTATTTTAAAAATCAAACATAATATCTTATTATTATGAATATATTAACTTAAAGCTACAACGAAAAAATATATATAGTCACGGCCAAATCTATATGGGTGCACGTCATCAATGAGATATAATGACGTAAGCATTACCAACTTTGAATTGTAAAGTTACTGCCGTTAAATTTGCTTTTTTAAGGCGTAATTCTGATGTGTTATTAAAAAGAAATCATTCATTTGCGTATTGTTTACCAAGAACTTTAACAATTTCCTTGTTTTAAAACGTTTTTTCACGAAATTATCAAAATAAAACCATTCACTTAGTAATTTTTGTGTGTGCCAGTTGGTAATAGCTTAAGGCTGGCGCGCACCGTTCAATATTATTGATGGGTCGCTGTCATTTTATATTTGACGTATTTTTGTAATTGTGACATTTCGTCCGGAAGCATCGTTTGTTGCAAATTATTATAAATAATATTATACATTATGTTTATAAGATTCTATCCCTGGATTGTAAAACAATGATATAAGGCTTGTTGGCAACTAGCCGTTATTAGATTTCGAAGACATTGCGCCCTTAATAATAAATTTGGGGAAATAATCAGACTTCAATTCTGACCTGGTTTGCTCTGATGACAAGGACGACTGGTAATTTATATATTTTGTGCTTCTGATAATTTAGAATTTTTTTGTTATGTGCATATGTAATAAAAATGTAATAAACTCCGTTTATTTTCTCTTTAAACACATTTCATAAAAATTTGCCTGTAACAAACTCCTAATTAGTTAGTGCAGAAGATTATAACAAGGACGTTATAATTCCATCTTAATAACAGACCCCACCGCTATAAACAGTCAACAATACACGAGCGTTAGATTGTGTCTGGGCACGTATGAATAGACCTTAACGCTGACGTCATATGCCGTTGATGACGTGCACCCATACAGATTTGGCCGTGACTATAATAGGGTGGAGTGAATTTTTTTTATTTATTATTTGATTTTTCCTGTATTATTAATTGTTGACTAAAGGCGTAAAATGGATAAATATCAAAAAAATATTCCATTTTTTTAATATCCTGAGGTGGCTCATAAATCTCGAAGTTTTGAAAATTCTAAAAAAATAAGACTTCAATCAAAGTAATAAATATAGCATTATTAATAAATAAAAAGTTTATTTTAGTAAAATTAACGTGAAATTTCACGTTGACGTAAACATATTTAATAGTAAATCATAAGCTTTAAGTAACTTCAGGAGTGTTTATTGGTAGAAATGAGATCTTCTTTTTCGCGAAAATACTGACATTTGGTATCAAAATTTGGTAATTCTTTTCTGGCTTTGATTCTTGTTCTGATGAAACCATCTCTTGCTTCCGATCCACAAACTGAGACTAAAGATTCAGTATACTGGTTATAACCAGTTTTACACAGAGTTCCACTGCTTGGGTGTGACACGGAAATTTTTGGAAGGATAGGAAATGGCCACCCGAAGAAATCATTTCGGTAATTTCTGTCATCGTATTTCATAGTCATAGGTGGTTCAGTTATCTTTTCTGTCGCCCAGTGAATTAACTCGTAAAAATGTAATGCTTCAGTATGTAGTTGTGGAAGCTTTAATTCCCGTAATCTCGAACATTTTGATTCTTTTCTCGCCTTTAATATTTTCCGAAATACTAGTTCTCTGATCGATAGATATCTTGTAGGTAACATAGCAAGTAATAGGTTTTCGAAATGTATATATATTTCGCTAAATATTCTTTATAACTATAGTTATAATGACTTTTTCTGGAGGTGTAATGCTCTTTTAGTCATATTAAATATGTGAATAGGACCATGTTTGCACGTAGGCTTGGTTTTGATGTAAAACCACGTTGGGGCATACACTTCATGATAAAAGTAGCCAATTCTTTTAGGTTTGCCGATGGATTTTCTTTCCCCACATATAAACGAATAATCCTATTAGCTATAGCTAACAAAGATCCTTATAAGGAAGTGGGAATTGTACCTTAAGAAATCGCTGAGCAAATTTGGTACAAATTTTTTTGATCCGTGCTCAACAAACTAGCATCAATTTCTGGCAATTTTACTTCGATTACTTCAAAATCCACTACTTCATAGTTCGGGCACTAAAGTGCGGTGGAATGCCAGAAGAGGTGCACTTGAGTGGCCTGCCCAATCTCCAGACCTAACCCCGTTGGATGTTGAAAAATGTTAAAAATGATACAGTATTTATTTCAGTGAAGGTTTAGTTGATTTTAACGTTTTTAGTTAGATTCAGTAAATTATTTGAACCTTTAACAAAAAAGTATTTGGATAGTTCTTATATTTTTTTTTGCAAAGACAAAATTGAGTATGATAGTGCAAAAATATAACTCGTTTTGTCAAAAACTTTTAATCCTAATTAATTAATTTTATTTTAGATATTTAAAACAGCATTATCGTTTTTCTCTTTTTTAACTACTATGGAAAGCAAAGCAAAGATTCAACAATAAAATAAGAGAGACAGGGAGATAGAGAGAAAGAAAATAGTATAATTTATATAATAATTAGATAATAGTTTAAAGTAATATGCAATATTGTGTACTTAAAAAGCATTAGTAATTAATAATTATTACCTTTAAACGGTCTATAAATTCAACTTTATTGTAGTAATCACTCGACATGATCTACAGACCCTTAGGAATACCATGTTAGTGAAGCAGTGGATTGAATTACCGTGGACCGTTCATTTTTTTTAGAAAAATGGTAATTTTAAAGCATAAGTTATAAAGCATTGTTCAAATATTATGTATATAAGGTCTAAGCAATATAGGTAAACAAGGTGAACCGATTATTTTTACTCAATGTTGACGATTTCAAATATTTTTAAATAATGAAGCATTTTTTGGGATTTTTGGAGGTCTGTGCAACACCTTTAGTGTGGTGCGCGATTCTTGGGATACCCTATATAATATTAATTTTAAATTATTGTCAACAATGACATGTAGGTTGTTTAGTTCTTATATATAATTAAAAATAAATCATTTTTAAAATTTAAGTGTTGTTTTATTAAAATTGTTTATCTGCTCCTACTATGATAACTACCCCAGTAGCACTAAATATTGGTCATATCCCAGATAGCACACAACGTCCTGAGGACGTCCGTTTTAAGTACGTCGTAGACCGACACGACCGGATGACCTATGGACGTCCAACTTTGGCCAAGTTATTTTTAAATTAGTGCCTCCCCAGTATACTGATAAATCTATTAAACATAGATGCATGTTGAGGGTTAGTAATCTGATATAATTAGGATTCATGAGCTTCAAAATTTTTGTTTTCCGTTAGGCTGTCCATAGGTAATCCTTGGTACGTCCGTTAGTGGCGGTTCTTTCTGTAAAGTTTTCCATTTGCAAGGTTATTAGCTTTCAAAAATTAAATTTGATTTTTCTGTTGCATAAGTATGTTATAAGAATACTTGTAAGTGAAAAACTTTACAGAAAACACCGCCACTGACGGACGTACCAAGGATTACCTATGGACAGCCTGACGGAAAACAAAAATTATATATCTATAACCACACTAGTGCGGTGCAATACAGTATTTCAATAAAAATAAAAAATAGGGCCGTTATGGCCGGCCCAAAAGGATTTTGTATTTGTTATGTTCAATTTAAATTTAATTTAAATTTAATTAAGAACAACTTTGACATTTAAAGTATAATGAGTCACAGTGTTGCCGGATTAATTTCATGAAAGTTCCTGACCAAAAATTAAAAAATACCCGATTTTACCCGCAAGAGTAAAATTTCTAGTGCATTTGCCCAATAGGGCAAAATGTATTTTGAAAAATGAATTAAATTTTGAATTAGTCAACAAGAATATTAACAGAATCAAATAAAAAAAATATGTTTATTTAGTAAATATGCAACATTATTTACTGAAAATTGTATTAGTTAGTATTTTAAATTATATTGAAATTAAAATAAAATGCAAAATACCGATATTTTATCCGCATGACGAAAATACCCGATTTTCGGGTAAAATACCCGCAAACGGCAACATAGCAGTGCAACCACATGATGCGCCACAGGAAATATTTTTGACCAATCAAAACGTGTCGCCATTTCGCCATTTCTGTTTCTCTACAAAGAACTTTATGTTCTGTGCAAAGAACAGTTTTAGTTACTAGTACCTTCCTACCTGCAAATTTTTGATAATAAAGTGAATCAGTTTTGTGCAATAAATTGTTTAAGTGTTATAGACAAGACGGAAAGTTATTCGTTTATCGGTAAGTTTTATGAACTAATGGGCGGCTTTTGGTATTTGTATTCTGTGGTTTGGAATAGAAAGGGCGGGTGTCACAAATATGCCAATTGCAGATATTCGCTATTGTCTCGCATTGTAATATACTATTACCTTACAGCTAATAAACAATGTGGGTCATTGTGAAATTTCCTAAAGAAAATTGTGTTGAGGCCATTCCAAATAATTGGTTAATAGGCGACTCTTCATGTTACTGGCCTCCGTATAGTGGGAATAGACTCAAGAAAGCCGTATTAATATGTGAAGAACCTGGTACCAATTGGGAAATTATAGATGTTGTGGTTCTTTCTAAAACTGCCATAGGTATTTTATTAAGTAAGCATTTTTGTTTTATCAATCCCCACCATCAAAATCTTTTCTAGATGCTTATAATAAAGCTGTCGAAAAGGCGGTTATTGCCCAATCTACATCCGATATCGAGGAGCCGAAAATAATAGCTCCCAAACGAAAAATCTTCAGGAACAAACGTTACGATGATGACAATTCGACATCATCAGTTGTGGAATCTAACGAGGAAAGCGATTTGGACGATTGTCCACAATATAAGACGGGTAACTAAATCGAATAAAATTAAATCATCATAATTTAGATTAAAATTACAGATAAAAGAAGCAGTCGGCGACCTGAATATCAGCCGAAACGCAATGCTGGAGAACTCAGCAAGCCTATTATAGAAAAAATATCCAATAAGCCCGGGATTGTTAGGAAGGAAACCTTAACCAGTGGAATAAAAAGTGTGTATATGAAAAATCAGGAAACTTTTCCGTTTAAGTACAATTATTATTACATTTCTAGATTCGACTTCAAAAGAAAAACAGGTCACAAGAGAGCGTTCAGCTAGCAGCGAAGGTGAGAAACATTCGATGCCCGATACATATCGGGTTTTCGTTTTTAGTAGGGAGTTGTATTATATAGTTATATTATATTAATCTTCCAGATTCGACACGAAGCTACTTTGGAAGAAATCGGGTTTGTAGTGAAGGTAAGAATGTTTGAATCTCATTGAATCGCACATTAAAAAATATATCAACTTGCCAGGTTCAACTCCAAGAAGCTCCCAGTCGAAAGCGAGCGCAGATCACAATGTGAGCCCTTTTGTGCAGAGAGGTTTAGATAATTCCCAAAGCTCCAGAGACTTCTCCCTAGGTAAATATAGTTAAATTCTTAGTTTTACTTTTAGTTATGATTATGTATTTTTAGATTCAACATTAAAGGAACCAAATTCTAAAGGCCGTTGTGATTATTGTGGTAAGAACCTTACACTAAAGGTAACCCTAATATTTCCCAAACACGTCATTCTAGGTATAATGTCAAAGAGAGTTATTTTCCTTCTAAACAAGTTGGATCTTAAATTGGACGAGCTTAGTACTGATGTAAACATTATAAAACGTAATATGCCTCGAAAGGAAACCAAGCCAGCAGTATCTCTTCCAGAAATTTATTCCGAATTTCCTCTTCAAACCGAAGATCAATTAAAAAATTTCGAGAAATTTCTGGAATCAGACGATAATTTTTCCAACTTTGTAAGTTTAAGAGTAAATATTGGATTGGATACATTTCTAAACTGATATTTGTTTTAGGTGAACTACTTATCGTCTGTAGGGGGTGATTCATCATATGAGAGCGTAAAAAGGTGTCTCAACAGGATATTGTCCAATGAAGTCGCCATGAAATTCAATTGGGAAGGGTTAAGATCTAAAAGGAATTTCCAGGTTTTACGGTTGTGTAAGGCTCTAAATGGTAAGTAAACATTTAGTTTATTTGCATACATTCTAAGCTTAGGCTAAAATTTCAGATGCTGTAAAGAAAAATCTAAATGTAACAGATAAGCAGATAGAAAAAGACATAAAGAGCTGGCTTAAGCATGCCAAAGAACAGTATGAAGGGACAATGAAAAAACTTGATAAGGAAAGAGAACATGAAGGAAACGTATACCTAATATGTACCTAAGAAATTATTTTAGTTTTTTTAATAATAAATTCATTTAAATTTCATAATAAAGTTTAACTTTATACAGGGTGTCTCCGAATTTCATTGAAAAATATTAAGGGGTGATTCCACAGCGCATGTGAAAAAAGTTTTTAAGAACATCAGGTCAAAAATGCTTTATAAGGGCCCCTTTGAAGATGGCACTCAACATTTACATTTCATTTTTATCTCGGGTGTACATTAATTTACAACAATTTATGGCACACACACTACAGTTATCAAATGCAACTTTTCTATTGTAGACCCAATTATCAGGGAGTGGCCAAACAGGGGTGATGGGATACCACCCCCCATTTTTTTAATTACGTTATTGGGTATATTCGTTCCATTTTATGAGTTTTTTTTAATTTTACACAAAAAATTTGCTCTTTTTTTCGCTTTAAAATTTTTAACGCAAAAACAAAAATTTCAAAAGCG